TATATGTAAACGTAAGAATCCTATCCACGCCTTATTTTGGTCGAATATTGCGATAGTCATATCTGATCGAGCGGCAAGATCGTTCTTTATAAGTGGGCAGGTTTTATGTTTGAGTCCAATAAACGTCGAGAGGCTACGTTTGGTCTAAATTTCGGCCGTTCAGAATGTAAATGGAGTTTCTTTTGAATATATTAACGTTAAATAATCATAATTTAAAGAGGTTTGCTGAGAGTTTCAACCACAAATGGTCAATTTGTAAAACTATTTCCTACATGCTGAGAGGCAGTGTAACAAAGCCCTCCTAAATTACCAGAATAATCCACAGCCAAAAGAGTCTTATCATAAACGTATTTAATTTTGTAGTTCGACATTTATATTGTCATGGAAACATCTCTTGGCCCAATTACCTGCATAAGGTCTGCCGAGTTGGTCACCGTAAGCACTGCTGAACGTATAGCATAGTAGTGAGCAACTAACAGCATTCGATTGAATATATCCAAGATCTCAATTGGAAATGGACCACCAGCACGCTGTCCGGCAGACACACTTCCACTGCCGCCGTTGTTTCCACTACTTTTGGCAGAGGTGATATTGCAAACAATATCATCTATGAGCCCCCGTAGAGCCGCCCAGGTTGGGTAGGCTTCAGGACCGAAAAGGTCGCGCTGCTTGGCAAGATCCTTTAAATAGGGTTAATCAACAAAATATACAAGTAATAAACAGGAAAAAGGCCGATTGACAGGGGAAATGCGGATAAACAAAAGATATGAAAAGTAGGCATGGCAAAGCTGAGCACTTAGGCAGTAAGAGGGATGCAATTGCGCACTCTTACGAGAGTCTGAGATTATTTTTAAGGAAGAAGATTAATATAGTCTTTGTATAAGACAGAAAAGGTAGAAAAAATGAGGTATTCTCTTGATCAAAGTCCATAAGTAGAAGGATAAACTCATATTAAGATAAAGTAGGTTTTTTGAAACCATTAGTTAATCTTAAATTAGAGTTCTAATCGAAATAGGCCACATACGGCGAGGAAGGACAGATAGATAAATTTTCCTTCACGTTTTCAATGCTTTCTGGATCGCAATATCAATCTCGCCAGAGTCTCATAAACGTCTCTAATTTAAAGCACACATAGCAGCTAGTATAGTGTTCCAAAAACTGTACATATGTAATCGGCTTAAAAGCTAGTCTTGAGAAATAAATATTCTAGAGGGAAAATTAGTAAGGCATTTTGATGAAAAACAGAATGCATATTCGGCGAAATCTCTCAGATTTATGCGAATTCCCATCTACGATAAGACAATATAGGCAAATGACTTCAAAAATCAGCGAAATTCGTTTTAATTACGGGTGAACTGGCTAGAGCTTGTGCTGGATAAAAGTGGAATATTTCTTATTAACATTAGCATAGTTTCGCAGATGGCAGAAGCCTTACTGGTGTCGAAGTGAATCAGTTTTAACTTGTTCCTTACTGATTTTATGGTGAGTTTGCCCAGCCTAAATGGGCGGAAAGATTTGGTTCATGCATTCTATCAGACATCGGCATGTCATCCTCAGTAATGCTAGACAGAGGTCCAATTGCACCGTCACATCGGCCATCCTAAAATGAGCCAAACAGTGGACTGTTTAATTTAATGAGAAACCCACAG